CCTGAGGGCGAAGTGTGGGCGCTTAAGCGCGGGAAAAAACGCCGGTGTGCTGGCACAAGAGATGGGGAGCAGGGTGGACTCAAAGTCGTACACCTGGTAGTATGTGTGCAACTCTGAGTTGGACACAGGGGAGTGGTGGTGTGATGAGGAGTAAGAACTCAGCTGGAGGAGCCAGGGCTCATAACCTAAGAGATCCTGTACAGAGGACTCTCAGTCTAGTGGGAAGATCACTGACTGTATTAGGACTATACCTGTACAGAGGACTCTAAGAACCATATGAGTACAGTATAGTATGGGAATAGAAGATGAACATACCTCAGTCTAGTGGGAAGATCACTGACTGAGGAAAGGAAGGAGCGAAGCCAGCACTGTCTACAGCGCTGGCAGGTGGCAGTGCTTGTCTACTATAACAGGAAGGTAAGGTAATCTAATCTAATCTGACACGTCACCTGACCGCATTCCGACACCTTAGCACATCACGATAATCCATGCATGCCTCTCAATCAGTCGAAGCCCCTCCTGCGCCATCAAAAGCATGGAAAGGCAAGGAGCGAGCAGCTCCCAGGTTGCTGTCTGTGGTAAGAAGTTGGATGCTCACACACGCGCCGCTTTGCTGACATGTATTCGTTCCACTAGATCGCCCCAGCCACGTATGTAGTTTTAGTCGGCCGCACTCGCTGATAACCCATTAGTTTGCATGTCGCCCACAGGACGGCATTGCAGCTCGATCACCGCCCCTCCGGACTTGTCGCCCCTCCACCGTCTGTAGTACCTCCGCCTGATACTGCCCCCGCCTCCACCTCTGCATCATCTATGGCGACGTCAGCTCAGTCCACGCAGCCCCCCGCGATTGCACTGTCGCCCCTTGCGTCTCTCACCACACTCACCACGGTCTCGGGCGCCACCGACGTTGTTCCCGCGCCTGCTTCGCCGCCCACGCCCACCAATCCCGAAGTCCCCGCGGAGGGTGGTGTGGACATCTCTGCGTCCCCGCCTCAAGACATGACCTCCATGGGCACTGCTCCCCCGAACGAGCATGCCGACAAGCCCTCGGAGGTCACGACGTCGAAAAAAACGCGTGGCCCTCGCAAGACGACGCAGTGGCCTCCCCCCCCTGACCTGAAGGGTGCAAAGTACGTACCTCTTCATTTACTCACAGTTCTAGGTCCCAGTTTCACTCGCTTTCATAGATGGGTCTACGCGCGCAAATGGTACACGGATTCCAATGGCACCCTGGAGGCCTTTGAGGCGCACTACAAGACCCTAAGCTCCTCGGATCGCAGGGTAAGTCGCCCGAATCGTGTCCCTGTGTCCGTTTGCTCAAAGTCTCGACGCAGAAACTCGGACGCGTTGCTCCCTCGTAGACGTTACGTGAGGAGCACCGCTATTGAGTCCCATTGCCGAACCCGGTACGTGAGGAGCACCACTATTGAGTCCCTTTGCCGAGCCCTACTGATGAGGCCACCTTCAGGTCGTCGCAAGTATCGCAATCGGGCACGCTCAAGTCGAATGTCGGAAGCGTCGGCCTCCCTGCTGTGTCAGTGGCTCGCTTCCGGGCAGCTCCACTGCTGCATGGTACGCGTGCCAGTGGCATGAGAGGTTCATCCCATCTGTATCCCACCAAAACCAACTGTTTCCACTGTGATCCCTGTCCATTCCGCGGTTTCTGTTTGTAGCTGTATCATAACGTGTAGCCATACGACAACATCCAACTGTATACAGTATGAATCAATTCGCATCCAATGACGTGTATCGATGACAACCATCCCTGCCCGACCAGACCCCAGCGCAACCCGAGCACAACCAGCCACAACCGATAACATACTAGCTGACCCAACGTATGGTTGTATGGCATCGTGCGACCGTACCACCTTATCCAGCCGCATACAGCCGAAGTAGGGATATCAGTAGAATTGAGATTACGGTCGGGGTTCCCCACTAGATACAGTACTAATCGGCCTAAAACAGCCAAGCCCATGTCGATTCTCACTGGGAGTCAGGCCCGGTACTACAGCGCCTTGCATAAGTCCGTGAACGCGCGGATTTTTTCTCTCCGGCGTCTAAACCACCCGACCTGCCTAAACAGGCCATATCACGGTCACAGGGACTACTCCATGACAGCGCATCACGGCCCTGTTGGTTGACCACACGCGTACCCAGGTAAATCCACAATGTTTTGAAGTATGGATATGCGTGCGGTACTTCCATGTCTGTATTTGAGTGCCCATTGGCCCCCAG